AACCCCCCCCTCCCGAACCCCCCCCCTCCCAGGGGGGGGGGTTCAAACTCCCCCCCCGGCGCCGGCGGCAGCCAGCAGCGCCGACGGCGGGGACGCAGCGACGATGACCAGAGGCAGCCCAAGGGGGGGGGAGGTTTCAACCCCACCCCCCCTGGCGCAGAGGGGCGGAGGGGGGGTCAAACCCCCGCCCCCCTGGCGCCCGGCGCTGGCGCTGACGGCGGCCAGCAGCGCCGGCGCTAGCGCCGGCGACGGCGGGGACGCAGCGACGATAACCACGACTACCCCTACCACCACCACCACCACTACCACCACCACCACCGCCTCAACCCACCACCACCGCCACCAACCCACCACACAACCACCACCACCACCACCACCACCACCACCACAGCCGCCACCACCACCACAATCACCACCACCACTCAGCATCACCACCACCACCACAAAAACCCACCACCACCACCATCACCACTCACCATCACCACCACCACCACCACCATCACAATCTACTACGCCACCACCACCACCGCCACAACCGCCACCACTACCAGCAGCACAACCCACCACCACCACAAACCACCACACCACCACCACCACCACCACCACCACCAGCAACACCACCAGCACCACCTCCACGAACCACCGCCACCACCACAACCCACCACCGCCACAAACCACCACCACACCACCACCAAACCACCACCACCACACAAACCCACCACCACCACCACCACCAAACCACCACCACACCACCACCACACCACCACCACCACCACCCACACCACCACCGACCACAACCACCACCACGACACCACCACATCAAACACCACACACCACACAACCACCACCACTGCCACCACCACCACACCACCACACAACCCACCACCACCACCACCACCACCACCGTCGTCCTCGTCGACGCTCCCCGCCGCCGCCGCCCGCCGCCGCCGGCGCCGGCGCCGGCCCAGAAAAGGAAATCGTCGTCACCGCCGCCGCCGCCGCCGCCGCCATCCGAAGAGAGGGAGAGAGGAGAGGTTAGGGGTGGGGGGGGTTCGAAACCCCCCACCCCCCCTCCGTCACGGGAGGGGGGGGAGGGGGGGGGGGGTGTTCGAACCCCCCACCCCCCTCCATCAGGGGGGGGGGTCCGGTTCCAAACCACCCCCCCTCCAAGCGACCACAGAACGCGCTCTTTCTCATCATCATTAGCATCATTAGCATCATCATCATCATCATCATCATCATCATCATCATCATCATCATCATCATCATCATCATCATCATCATCATCATCATTATCATCAGCAGCACCACCATCATGATCGACATGATCCTCATCATCAGCATCATCAGCATCATAATCATCATCATCGCCATCGTCGTCGTCATCAGCCTAGTTAACATCATCACCATTATCATCATCGTGATCATCATCAGCAGCAGCATGGCCATCAGCATCGTCATCATCAGCATCAGCAGCATCAGCATCAGCATCAGCATCCTCATCCTCATCATCATCGTCATCGGAATCACCATCAGCATCAAGATCATGTGCGTCGTCAGAATCACCGTTACCATTAACATCACCAGCACCAGCACCACCACTATCATCATCATCGTGATCGTCAGAAGCCTCATCATAATCAGCATCATCAACAGCATCATCATTATCATCATCGTCATCCTCATCATCAGCAGCAGCAACAGCATCAGCATCATCATCATCATCATCATCATCATCATCATCAACATCGTCATCATCATCATTGCCATCATCAGCAGCAGCCGCGTCCTCATCATCGTCATCATCCTCAGCATCATCATCACCACCAGCATCATCATCATGAGCAGCAAGCATCGTCATTATCAGCATCAGCATCATCATCGTTATCATCTGAATCATCATCATGTCATTATGCTTCTTCATCGTGATCATCATCCTCGTCATCCGCATCATTATTATCAGCATCATCAGCATCAGCATCGTCATCATCATCGTCGTCGTCATCCTCACGATCGACAATATATAAGTTTCTGAATCGTCCTCGTCATCATGATCAGCCACATCATGATCCTCATCGCCAACATCCCTGTATTCTCACATCCGTTCCCGCCCGCGCGTAGCCCGCGTTTTCCCCCTAGCCAAACCGTCGGAAGCGGAGCGAGCGCCTTCCGTTCACTAGGTGGGAACGCGTTCCAGTCCGAACAAGTTGTGCAGCCGTGTGTTCATATTTCATGGGGGGGGGAGGGTGGGAGTAAGCGGGGCCCGCTGCCTCGGTCGGCAACTCGTCCTCATTCTCCTCCTTGTCTTCCCTTCCCTCCCCTCCTCCTCCGACGCCAACGTCGACGCCGACGGCAGGACCGTGGCGACGAGGCGCACCCAAAAGCCCGAGAAGGCCGAGGGACGCCCAAGAGCCTCGACCCGCGTTCTCCGACCGCGACGACGACGTTGACGTTGACGTTCACGACTGCGACTCGGAACCACCACCACCACGACGACGTC